AAAACTAGACCAACAACTAGGATAAGCAAACCACTAAATGATGGATTTTCTAAATACATATACCGCCAATACATCAAGACTCGTAGCCCATGGAAAAAGATAAACCCTTTCAACGTCAACAACAACAAAAAATGAGAGCAAACATACAATTGCTACTCGAAATTGTTAAGCATGGCCTATTGGTGTTATTGGATTGTCCAGAGTCCTTCAAGCTTCAAACCTGAAAGAATGATTGTGAGTGAAAATCTAAAACTAAATAGCAACGGACCTGTCCGGAGATCTTGGCACAGACACCGGGAGTGCTCCCTCTAGCAATGGTATTCTCGAAGACGCACTCCTGCGCCTGCGCGAGCATGAGCTTCTCCAGCATCCCGGCACACTCAACGGACAAATCAACGGTGGTGGAATTCCCAACGGAGGCCTCCATGGAGGCGTTGTCGCGGAGGAAGGCAAAGGAACCGGCAGCAGCAATGAAGGCATGAGAGGCCAGGCGGCGGCCGTCAACGGTGGATCGATCGAAAGACATTCCAATCTGACTATAAACGGCGCCCAAATTGAAAAGCACGGAGGCCTTCTCGAGGTGGATGTTCTGCTGTGAGGCTTTCTGCTTGGGCTTGAAGGCATCGAACCAAACGAAGGTGAGAGCGTTGACGTGGTGACGGTCAGGGGAGATTGGGAAGCGCGTCTGAACAAGGCAGAGAGATTTGAAGTAGGTTTGGAGAAGATCCCGGCGCGCCGGGAGGGACGGATCGGTGTGACGCTCGAGGTCGGAGCGAAGTTGCTTCAGGATTTGGAGGTCATCGTCAAGGTTCTGCGCTTGACACTCGGAGTAATGACATGCAACGTAATTGCGAATAGGGCGATACATATCAACTGTGTTCGTCTTCTTCTCGTTGATCGCGAGCATAAAGTTGGGGGACCCCGCGGTGGAGGGTGACGACTGCGCGGCCATGGCTACAGAAGAAGATTCCAGAAAGTTCGATTGATTACAGCGTCGTGGATAATCGAACGAACCAAGCCGTAACTACTTTTTCCTCTCCACATTGCTTGTGCTAATATATTCGATATACAGAGAGAGCGATCGCGAGTTAAAAATACAGATGGAGGGATTTGCATGTTTTGCCGCGAGTCCCAAGGAGAAAATTTGAAAGAAAAAATATAAAAGAAAATGTTTTCTAAAGTTTGTTCCTCAGAAGAAAAAATGGTGTACAAATAATAAAGACTCAAATATTTGTCGATATATATATATATATATATATAGTATATATATATATATATATATATATATATATATATATATATATATATCTTTATTTCAATCAAATAAAAATACATCGATGTTTTCTAATAATAATTACGTATATAAAATATTTACTTCATTTTATTTATATATATTATAAATTATAAATGGAGTATATATATTATATAAATAGAGATAAAAAATTACAAGTTTTATTACGTGTCCCAAACAGAAAAATTACAAGAAAATGTTTTTTAAAGAAACAAAAAGAAAAAGACAATATTCAAATGTTTATTCATATAAATCCTATTTCAATCAAATAAAAACGTATAGGTTTCTTCTAATTACAATACAAGAAAGTCATAACATGTCATTCGTATAATCCTTCTTAACAGGAAAAAATTGTTCATTTTATAGAGTCAGGTCCATTTTAACCTGATGGAACCTGTTTTTTAAGTCAAATTTTGAAAACCATCTTACATTTTATATACGGTTTATCAAAATATCTTTAGATGGAATAGTATATCCATCTTCGACTATGTTATCATTAAAAAAATACTCATTCGATATAATAAGTAATTTTTGTATGCAAAAATTTATAACACAACACTCAATTCTCATAAATATGGGAAAAAAATACATAAAAGTTATTTTGATTGTATGCGAATCAATCAAAAAAAATATCACATTCTATTCGGAATTTTGATTTAAAAAATAAAAGAAAAAAATATACATAATGCAATTAAAAAAAAAAATCACATTTACTTTTTACCATCACACATCTCACATGTCCTTTATTCACCATTTTCACATACTCACTTACCTGCATTTGTTTTTTCTTCACACTGTTGTCTTATGTTTGATAACTGTATTTCATTTTACGTTTTCTATTGTCATCTTTTCTTTATAACCTCGTTATTGTATTATGTTTCTTTTTTTTATGTGATAATCTCAATTTAGGGTTTTTAAACTCGGTCAAGTCTGAAACCTAAATTCATGGATAACTTAAAAAACTCGTTAGTCTCATTTTCTTTATTTTCATATTTTATTAACATTTGTAGGTTCGATTCAAGATTTTGTAGGTGAAATCCAAACATAAAAACAGATAAACTATAAAATTAAGATTTATTATAAATATTTTTTGACTTTTTTAATAATTCTTCATTCTGACTTTAATAAGGGTTTTAGATTTTTATAAAAGATTAGATGTTTTTCATATAAAATAAATATTTAATATATATATATATATATATATATATATATATATATATGTGAATGGTATTTTATAAAAATAAACAGGATAGTTTATCATATTTTAGGAAATGGTTTTTCATTTTAAAAAATAGGTTTACTTTAAAAAATTACGTTTCTTTCAAATAATTAATTATATAAAAAAATTAATCTAAAATTTTATCTTTACAATAAATAAAAAATATTAATGGATGAGATCGAACCATTTTTTCTGAAAGACAAAAGTGTTTTATTTTTATTTTATTTTTTTGTCTTTTAAAAATTTAAGACCATTTAATTATTTTTAATAAAAAATAAAGTTTATTCTTTAGTATTTTTAATTTTATATTAAATATTAATATTTTACATGTAATATTAATATCTAAAATGACTTAATGAATACTTTTTTAAGACGAAAAAAATTAAATTATACTTAATTAACAAGATAAACAAATTCGATTAAAAAACTTAATTACTTAAAAAGACTTATACTTTATTGTATTTTTTTAAAGTTTTTAATTATTGTTATATAAAAAATTAAAATGTGCGATACATTTTACGTATAATTTTAAATTTTAAAAAATTATAGGAAAATTGATACTGTTGTATGGTATAAAAAATAAATATAAAATACAATTATCAAATATATAAAAAAAGTATTGTCTTCCATTATTAAAAAATAAGTTTTAATTACTTTTAAATGGATTTTTTTTATCTGTGTTATATATAAAGTACAAATATTATACATATAATAAATATAATATTATATTAATTAATATATATTAAAAATTATTATATATTTAAAATTTATAATAAATTTACATGAATCCTTGAGCTAACAACCGTCTTGTTCTCAGAGGGATGGATGAGTGTAACTGTGAACAACCAATTAAATACATCCCCTCTGATACTGAACATTTCAAATATATTAAATTAAATATCATTTTATCATTTTTAACTCTTAATGCATACTTTTTTTTTCTTTCTCAAATTATTGTCTTCAATAATATTTATAAGTACAACTTTAGAAAAATAAACCTATTTTAAATAATAATAATTTAAAATTGATGTGATAATGCAATTAATTATAAAAATAATTCAAAAACTAATATTTATTAACAGCATTCTATCTATTTGTATATATTAAAAAAATGTATTTTACCCTTTTAAATTATAATTATTAAATAAATTTTTTATTTATTTTTTAAATTGCTTTTTTTTGTAATTAAAAGATTAAACTAAATCAAACAAATATTGAATAATTTGTTTTGCTTTAAACATAAATCATAATAAATATATATATATATATATATATATATATATATATAACTTCCCTAATTTATATTCTTTATCTAATAATGATAGAAAGGTATAAAATATAACTAAAAATAATATTTTATATCACAGTTTAAGTACAAAGGTAACACAGATAATAAATTAATGTTAACTGTTTTTGTAAGAAAATTAAATAAATGACAAATATAAAATTAAATCAACCTAGTTATGTTATATAAAATAGTAAAACAATATCTCTACCATGAATAACAATTTTTCTGTTAAAACTTATACCAACAAAGTATAAATAACTTTATCAATATATTTATGAATAAGTTTAATATCTGCTATTGAGGCATAAATTACTATATTAGAAATATTGTAAAAAATTTGTAATAAATATATAATTTAAGTAAACTATTTGCATTATGCAGAAAGAATATCTGAAAATAAATTGTATCACACAAAATTTTGGGATATTAAACAGAATCAAAACTTAGTTTCTCATTCTTTAATCCAATAATTATATTTAAAAAATACACAAATAAATGTATACTTATTTACAATCATAAAATATATTTTTAAATATAATACTATATATTGAGTTATTCAAAATAGTTTATCATTTTAATAAGATATTAGGTTATTTTTACATTTCAAATTATTTTGAAAAATCGAAATAAAAAATATCAAACAAAGATTTTATTTTAATTTCATATAAAAAAATTGCAAAACAAGTTAAGAAAAAGCTCAATAAATTTTTTATTTAATGAACTTTATATCATCAAACATTGATTCATTTTTATATTTTGTGATTCTAAAAAATATTTTTGTTTTTAATATTTTTTATGTGAAATAAAAAAACAATGAAATTATTTTATTAAAAATTGAGAAGTAAAAAACCATTTTTAAATTTAAAGGAATAAAACACATATTTTTTTTATTTTAAGTATTTAAAATATCAATTTTAAATTTAAGAACTGAAATTCACATCTAAATTCAGAGGATTAAAAGATAATTTGATTTAAATTTCAGGTATTAAAAATATATTATAATAAAAAATTAGAAATTAATTTTTCGCATAATTATTTTAGAAATATATATATATATATATATATATATATATATATTGTAATTTTCAATCTAAAAAGAATCCAAATTTAAAGGACTTATATTTAAAAATTAAAGCATTAATAAAGGTATAAACATATTTGTGGCGTGGACCGCGTCCGCGTGGTCACCGACCAGCGGGTTTATGCGCGTGAAAGAATCAGGTTCGAGTCGAGAGAAAAACTTTTATAAATCCAATTATTTATCATGAAATGCAACTCCGTTTCTCTTCATATTAGACCTTTCTGGAAGGAAGAGCAAGCAGCAAGGCCTACCCCCAACCCTAACCCTAACTCGCAATCTTCGTCTCTATTCTCTTCCTCTGCTACTTCCTTCAGGTACTAACAATTTTCTTTCAATTTCAATACTCTCCGCTCCATCGGTATATTTTGTTTTCATTTACTTTTTGTTTTTACGGTTCCATAGTCGCGTTTTTATTTTTTTTCAGTTCTCAACTATTGATTTGATCTGATGCAGATTTGTCCGTACCGTTGATATCAATACTGAGTTCGGGGTAGATTGCTGCTAACAGGGTTTATTCTTTCACATATAAGGTAAGAATGGAAGGAGAGACTATCCAGGCAAAATTGTTTATATTGAAAATATTGACTATTTGATTGTGTATGGATATTGAACAAAGATTTTTTTTTTTTATTGATTTATCATTTTCGCAACGTCCGCTAACTTGCTATGATACTATCGATCATGAGATGTTATATTTTTCTTCCATGTGAGTTTATTTATTTTTTATGTTTTTTTAATATTACGGATGGTTTAGATTTTTTTTTTTTTCATTGGAACCGCAAGTAGATGCGTAGAAAGGAGTTCGATATATTACAGTTCTTTTTTTTCATGTTGTTATGTTGCTTGATGCTATTTGACTTATCTTTTTCAATTTATTGAAATTATGGAGATGCATGGGCAGTTCCTATTCATCTACCAATGAATAAGGATATATTCCTACCACAAGAAGCATTAAATGCATATCACTTGCACACATTCTATGATAAATTGTCTTCTGTTTCTGTTTTAGCATTTGAAGTTGGTGTGAAACAGTGTGGGTTTCCAGTGGTGGGCTTGTGTGATTGCCTCTTGTGTGTGAGCCATGGTGGATGTAGCAACCATGGCGGAATTGATGAATTGATGAGTATGGTAATTAAAATTGGGGTGCCAATTGTTTAATGCATGAGTTTACAATTTTAATCCCTCTGAACAATTTGGGTTGCCCATGAAGACTTGGTCAGAATCAAATTGTTTTAAAATTGCAATTCAAGCTATATGTTTGATTTTATGCTTTCGGAATCTGACCCAATTTTAAAGTTAGGTCTAATTTTGTTTTCGACCTACTGTTAGAGTTGGTGATTCTTTGTTGACTCCAATCCCCTAATTAAAGAGCAAGGCGGCTACTTCCGAGTACCCTAAGTGCTATTCTTTTATTCTGTGTGAGCAAGCTGCCACCCACCATTGCTGTTTGGGGTTCAATTTTCTGTGTTGGTCGCCATTTTTTCTTTGTTTTGTTCTTTGCTTGAATTTTTTTCTCTATTTGCTGTTGTTGACCTGTTTCAGTTTTGTGGCATTTGCTCTTCTGGTTTGATCCCAGCTTCTCTTGTAACTACCCACACCACCAGTTAACCTGTTTCCTTGTTCACAGTTCTGAACTAGAGTGATGATGAGTTATGGGTTATGTCTTATAGTTTTCTCGGATGACATTTATGGAATATGGTTTATGGTTTATGGTTTATGTGTACCAAATTACTTATATATGGATTTATATTCATATTAGCATGTGTATGAATATTGTAGAAGCTTCCTAGATTCATGATTATTTTACCCCTTTTACTAATTTTAACCACGTAAATGAAGAAGAGTGAGCAAGCATAAATGGTTGTTGGAAAATCTGAAGAGGAAATACAAAAGAAATGATGGTTTGTGCCATACAGTCCTCATGTCATACATTTTTTTGGACTAGGTCTCTTTTCATTTACCAAGTAATTTATTTCATCCACCGTCTTCACTGTAGGTGTCTATTAGTACTGTTTTAGTTATGGTAATAGAAATTTTCAGAATATGTACCCTTTTTTGTAGAAATAAGCATTGAACCCATCTACCCCACTTGCTTTTAGAAATCTAAACTGAGATTATGACTGATTAGATAGATGGATTAAGGATCACATGTGTGATGTTCTTCTGATTAATTCTCTGAAAGAGGGCAAGGTCTTAACATCAGAAGTAATTTATATGTGATATTTTATTCTACCATCATTTTTTTTTCTGATTGCAAATTCTTTTTTTTTTTTTTATTAAGAACAAATGCTAAACAATTGCTAAATGTGTTTTCAATTTTCATGGATAACATGTAAGATTTGAAAAGTAGCATTTTTTGTTACTGTCTAATCCTTTGAAGTATTCTACATACTACTTTGATTTGATTGTAGAACTAACTTTGATTTTTCTCTTCTGTGAGATGCACTTCCGGTCATCATTTACTCAAAATGCAGTTTTTGAGTTGGTTTTGGAATATAAATGGACACCAAACGATTCATCCAGCTGGTTGAGGAGAAGAAGAAGAAGATTATGGAGAGAAAGGAGGCCCCTTTGAAATGGGAGCAAAAACTGGAAGCTGCTGCTGAAGCTAAGGAGAGAAAACTCAAGGCTGCAAAGCATAGAAAAAGATCAGTTTCTGATAATGACACTGATTATGACAGTGATGATGAGAGTAGAAAGACAAGTAGAAGATCTCATAGGAAGCACAGGAAGCATTCTCACAATGACTCTGGTGACCATGAAAAAAAGAAAGAAAAAAGTTCCAAACGGAAAACAAAGAAATGGTCCTCAGAGTCTAGTGATTTTAGTAGTGATGACTCTGAGAGTAGCTTTGAGGAGAGGAGAAGAAAAAAGAAGCAAAGCAAGAAGCTGAGAGATCGAGGTTCAAGATCAGATTCCAGTGACTCTGAAGAAGGTGATAGTCCGGTTCGGAAAAGAAACCATGGAAAGCATAGCAAACGCCATCGACGATCAGAATCTAGTGAATCTGACTTGTCAAGTGATACAAGTGATGATGCTCCCCGTAGGAAAGGCCACAGAAGGCACCATAAACATCATAAGCGATCACATAATGTGGAGCTGAGGTCGTCTGATTCTGATTATAACAGTAATGGTCAAAGAAGTAGATCAAAGTCTTCAGAAGAAAATTCTGAAGATGAAAGCAAAAGATCAATGCATAAAAAGTCTAGTCGTCACCATCATCATCATCATCATCGCCATCATCACCACCACCATCACCACAAACATAGGCATCATATGGATGATGATAGAAATCACAAGCAGCTGCACTCTCCAAAATCCATTGGAAAGCATGACGAGGAGTTGGACAAAACTGATACTGAGAAAAACGATGGTGATCATCATGAAAGAACTATGGCTGAGAATAACGAAGACCAAATTGTTTGATTATTTAGAATATGTCCTGTTATGTTAGTCTTCGTTCATTACTTGAATTGGCTGGTGACTATCGGCTATTTAAATTAAAAGTTAGACGAACAAGTTCATTGTTTATGTTGAATGTAATGTTTGGAGGAGTTATTGACTGTTGAAACTTTGTGTCATTGTTGGCTGATGCATCAATTGGATCCATACTCAGCTATTAACAGTTAGAATACTCGTAGTAAGGGTTCTTGTGGGATTTTTTTTTTTATTATTGGCTTTGTATGCACAAGGTAGGCATTGTATGCTGTTCAGTTGAGCATTTTGTGTGTTGAGACTGATTCGTCAACGGTAGTATCTAGTACTTGTAGTATTGAAAGGACGGCTGTGAAACCTTGCAGTGTGCAATCGTTGCAGGTTCATTAATGATTTCTAAACAACGCTTTTGGAGGTACCACTGACATCCACACATTTAGTCCGGAAGGTATATTTATACTGCATGGAAGACGCTCATGGTTGTGGGAGATTTTGCTGGATGGCCTCGGTAGATCTTTGGTGTAATGAAGTTTCATTTTAGGGTTTCCCATCTTGAAAGTTCAACTCTAAGGTCCAGTAAACGAGAGTTTTGCTTGCTAAGCATTAGTTACTACAGAAATTTTAATAACTTTTTGTACGAATAAGACACCATGGTTGGAATTTTTAAGATAAGTTTAACCCTGATTTTTCCATCAATCACTACACCCATTTAGTTCTTATTTCGCGAAGTATTGGTTAAAATTACGAAGAGTTTCCTTTGTTGTATCTTTTACCTTGAAGGTTCAATTCTAATCGAATTCAATATTAACAGACACTTACTAATTCTTAAAAACTTGTCATTCTCAATACTCATCATCATGTCGCGGAACGGGCAGGTGAAGCTGATGGAGAAGATAGCTGAAATGTATATTTTGTGAGGTGACGAGACGAGTTCATTTAATTATAGATAAATAGCTAAAATTGTTCTTTGAATATAATTAACCATCTAATGTTATTGTACGATATAGTAAAGAATAATTCCATCTCTCAATCCGGAATACAATGAACTGATATTTGATTTGTATTTTAAAGGAGCCAATCTATTGAGAATGTTATCTAAATTAAATCAGTTTATATGAAAACAGTCGCGTCGTAAAGAATATTTCTTTTCTGTCGCTAATCCAGATCTCAGTTATGAAAAAGTTACACAACCAAAGACTTCATGTTTGGAAGCCATGCTAGTCTATCTTAAATAGAGGCAGCTCCATTACTTGTCGACTCTTGGCTCAGTGTCAACTTTAATGCCAATATATCGATTATTTCTTACTTGCTGCGTGATAATACAGTGTCAACTGTAATAGTGCAACAATTCAACAATTGGAAGTTTTACTCAACTTTCCAAAGCCCGGTATATCTGCCCTATATTTAGACTATTCCAAAATTGTTCTTTATTGTACATTCCATGCTGAGATGCTTGATCCACAGCAAAGGCAATGAACACATAAATATGAGTATAATTCAAATCCAAAATGATACAACACTGCCCAAATTCCCTTTTTATCAGAAGTTCTTCAATATCTTATCAGCAGATACTCCATCAGCAACAAGAATTGATGTCACCTCCTGTAATAATAATGTATTCAAGTGTTATGTATTGGAACCAAGACAAAGAAAACGAGCAATGAAATATTTGACAGTCCCCGTTACTTTGTGAAATCCCGTGTGGATGGACCAACTAATTAATGGACCTGCATTATTTACTGGGCCCAACATAGGTTTTTATCCAAAATATATTGTATGCTGTTAGCATTTTTCAATTCTTATGGGTACGTTTGTTCAAACTTTTTAAAATAAAATAATCATTTATTTAAAATAGCAGAGGAAAAAAAAAACAGTTTCATGCTTTTTTTAGTAGCAATTTGGAGTTACTTCTCATAAAAAGCAGATGCGGTAGAAAAGAGAGAAATGTTTTTAAAAAAACACGAAAATTTATATAAGAACTTGTTAGCAATTACTTATTTTATAAGCACAAACAGACCCTATATTCACCTTATTTCTCACCTATATCTTCCCTTCGTACTAGACACATCTTACTGGAAAAACATGGGCTTTATTCTTAGCAAAATTGATAACATTATATAAACATGATAGTGTGGCCTATGGTGCTTCCTTGGCCAGCCTCCTTTCACAAATTGCCTATGATGGTTGGCTTAAAAATCCACCAAGCCTACCAAAATAGTAGTCATTTAACAACACTGATAACAGATCTCATAGCTATTTGTATTGCAGACAATAATTTTAACAACGTTGCATATCCCTTTCCCACAAGACTCTGAAACAGCCTGTCTCTCACATGCATTCACACGTAATGCTATGCTATAATAGCCTGTTCCATATTAAGAAGTCATTGCTTTGCACAACAACCAAATCCTATTTGAGTGAGTCCAGTTTAAAGGCACATAGATTGGTGACATGCACGAATACAGTCAAATCTTCATCAACTTCTCCTTCGAACCATTTATTAGTTGCAAAACTCTATCACTATGTTAGAGATAATAAAAAGTCAGGGGCTGGGAAAGAAGAATAGAAACAAGCAGAATGTAGTCAGCATGATGCATGACTATTATAAACTACCCTGTCTTATCAGTACGTCTTGAGTAATTCATTTGATTCTAGTTACCTGATTGTTTTAGATATGACGAGGTTAAATTGTTTCTCCTCTGTTTCTCAATACTCTCCTTTAATTGTCGTATACATGCAACCCTAATATTGTTTTACATTTCCTATTCACCTTAGACTCTTGCTTTTGATTCCATATGTTTAGTTATTATTCACTCTAACAATGGGCGTGATTTCAAGCGAAATTGTTGGGATTATATACCAGAAGCGAGGGACCTCGTCATACCGTCGACCCATTGGTTACATAACATGATGGCCTATTTGGACACTACAATATGTAATGGTTTTGGAGGTGCTATGGGGTCTCAGCATGTAATTGGCATTTGTGGCACTTTCTTGCGTATCGTGTCGTAGAGTTGACCAATAATACCTTACTTGCAAGATATTTGCCACGAGTGTTCGTCCTCTGATGTGCCTTCCGCATGTTCTCTTGTGTAGTTCAGCTACATTTGCAATGCCCAATCTTTCGGCAAAGAATAATGCAACGGGGTCGAGAAGCCTTGACGGATTAGCTTGTCACTAATCATCACAAATCTTACCACTCTCTTCTGAAATAAAGCATTCTTGTCTCTAGTGTCGAGCTCGGTACCCTAGGTAAAGTAGATTATATATGGTTGCGTCCATGATTGTTGAGTTTTTTAGTTCATCATTTGGCTGCCCTTTGTAGTGAAATCGAGAGAAGTCAATGCCTCTTGTATGATTGACCTACGATTTCCACATTTTGTGCTCACTATTTGGAGAGTATGTCCGCTTGGCAATTTTGCTCTCGAGAGGACAAGCAATCATAGTAACTACTTGAAAATTATGACATTACTTCCAAAGTTTCCCGACCATGATAAAAACCGACATACCCATCAAGCACGTCTTGCACAAACCCGACTTGGCTAGGCAGATGGTCAAATGGGCAATAGAGTTGTCCAAGTATGACATATCATACGAACAACAAGACCCAGTAAAAGTCTAGTTCATGGCCAATTTTTTGGTCAAACTCACATGCAATCCAACACATGTGTCAAGCAAGGACAAGCAAGAAACTTGGATATTATTAGTCGACATAGCCTTTAATTTGAATGGCAGCAATACAGACATCATAATGGAAGCACCATATGGAATGATGATTGAACCGTCTTTTTGTTTTGCGTTCAAGGCCAATAACAAATAACAATCAAGCAAAGTACGAAGCTCTACTAACAGGCATGAAGCTAGTTATCAAAATTGGCGTCAACCACTTGCTCACGAAAAGCAATTCCTAACTTATCACTGATTCACAAGAGGCTACCAAGCTCGTGATTCATGTTTAGCCCAATATTTGGAGGAGGTGAAAACACTAATACCAAACTTCAACACTTTTAGACTCGTCCACGTCTCTCGAGCAAAATTGTCACACAAACATACTCCCCAAATTGGTGAGCACTAAATGACCCAAAAACCAAAGGTCAGTCATACAAGAGATGTCAACTTCCCCTAGTGAAACTGCAAAGGTCAGCCAAATAATGAACTCAAAAACTCAATAATCATGGAAACAAACCATATACAACCTATTTTACCTAGGGTATCGAGCCCGACAGTAAAGACAATAAGGCTTTATCTCAAAAGAGGGTGGCATGATTTGTGATGATTGATAACAAGCTATTCTACCAAGGCTTCATTGTTTGTCAGAAGATCGAGCATCGCGAATTGTAACTGAACTACATGAGGGAACAGACGAAAGCCACATCAGAGGACGAGCACTTGAGGCAAAGATCTTGCGAGCAAGGTATTATTGACCAACTCTACAACATGACTATACACGATACGCAAGAAAGTGCCACAAATGTCAACTACACGTCGAGACCCCCATAGCACCTCCAGAACCATTACGTGTTTTGTAGTGTTCAAATAGTCTACCATGTTACGTAATCAACCTAATGGGTCGCCCATATGACGAGGTCCCCTGCTTCTGGTATATAATCCTGGGAATTTCACCTGAAATCACGCCCATTGTTAAGAGTGAATAATAACTGAACGTAGGGAATCATGAGCGAGGACTCGAGTCTAAGGTGAATAGGAAATATAAAGAGATATTAGAGTTGTAGGTATTGGGCGATTAACAGGAGAGTACTAAGAATAAGAGGACAAACAATTAACCTCATCAAGATCTATTTGCTATAATAATTTAAACTTTAGTCATTTGGCTCTACCTAAAGAGGAAATATTTAATAACCTAGATGCTAATTTCTTTCTAATCGAGAGTGCTATTCCAAGGAGGTTTGGTTTCCTCAATGCAACCATTATTGTATCTTTCTCTCACTCTCTAATAGGTTTCTTCCTAGAGAAATGCCAGCAATATACTCTAATAAAGAGTGTTAAAGTTTATTGGAAATCACAATTTTTTGTTCTCACTTATTAAAAAAAATAAATTGTTGTTAGAACTCCTCTTCTTCCTATCAGATAACTAGGAAAGACTGGCAATTGACAAGAAGGTTGCACCGATGGAAAGTTAATAAACACACACAAAAACACAAGTCTCCTAATTATGAAGATTGATAAGTAAAGCTGAGCTCTAATACCGCACCTCAGCCATCTGTTTATGCCCACAAAGTACAGCACCAGTTGCCAGTGGGTTAGATATCTGCTTAGCTTTTGAAAATGCACCCTGTGAATATAATCGTGTGCACATACAATCAGTAACTGTGATGAGAATAATGTGAAACTTTAATCCTAACCGCTCACACACTTTACCTGAATATAGCCTCTTTCCCCAGTCCAACTATCATCAGGTTGAGACAATACAGGAACAATCTTCACACCAGAAGATTCCCAGTCTTTAAATCTATCCTATAACATAAATGAACATTGTTATTAAAGCAAGCTCTGGTTAGAAGTAGTTCAAACTTTCCTTTCATCAGCAAAAACTAACTGCAAAAACCTGATAAGCCATTCGCTGTAGGTTTCTGGCCCCATAATATAGCCTCACATCAGACCTATTCCCAGCATCAAACCCTGACTCTACAAGAGACCGAATTGGACTGCACACAACAAAGTAATCGGGCACACCAAATCACAAAGAGAATACATGGAAAGTCTAGGATTCAGGTTGTGGTAAACTTTCCTATAAGCACTTCCAGAAGGAAAAATCGCAAAAGATCTGTTAAGGGTATGTTTGGACAAATTTATCCCTAAAGACTTTGAAAAAAGAAAAATAAGAAGAAAAAATGAAATTAGAGAAATAATATGTGTGAGAACTTCTGCAAATTAATTTATGGATATACTAATTTTTAACTTTTGGAGAAACTCATTAATTATTTCTTCTTATTTTCCTCTCTAAAAATCCTTCCGATGATGTTTGTTCATACATGTCTAATACACGTAACTTCAATGTAAGTTTTTCATCTTACTTCTCCAAAAATAGAGGTCCATAAGTTTGACTTTCAGGAAGCTTAATTCATTTTACTTCTTTATTTTCTTCTCCTGCAATTATTTATTGTCAATTTATCCTAACAGAATGCATTAATGTTAATAAATGCAATGCAAGGTTTTAAAATATGGTAACTGTAACATCAAGGTTTTTGAGGCCTATGCTCTGCAACCAGGGTCGAATCAATCGCATTTTCCAACAAATTTCCATGATATCAAGGACCGTGAGGGAAACTACAATAATTTAAAACCTTCATTTTTCATGCATCACGAGTTTGCAACCACATAAAAGGAATAAAAGATAAGGATGCATTTGAAGTATATATAAAAAATGGGGGTGAAACGGTAAATTGCAACTGACCTAATTCCAGATCCAGTGGCGAAGACGATAACGGTTCCAAATTTCTCGGGCGGCTCGATCCGATCGATTTTGAATCCGTTTCCCATGGCTTGGGTGAGTTCAACCACATCGCCTCTCTTCAACGCGCACAACGCTTCCGCGGTGGACCCAGCCACGCTCTTCACGAGGAACTCGAACACGCCACGCTCCGTGGCGAGCTTCGGTGGCGACGCGATGGCGAGGAAAGAAGGCTTGGTCGAGTCGGGGACGCGAAGCTGGAGATACTGCCCGGCCAGTGTATGGGACGCGGCGAGGTCCGGCGCGTCCGACACGTCGATAGCGATGTGGAAGAGCGACTCGGCTGCGGGCTCGACCTCAGAGAGTGGGGCCGGGGTCCAGACGGTGGTGTCCTGACGAACGGCGGCAGAAACGGTGGCGAGGCGGCGGCGGTGAGTGCGAAAGTTTAGATTGAGGCGGCGTAGGATGGACATGGAGGGGCTAACGTACGCATGGGGGTGGAGAGTAAGCGAGGGTGACGGTGCGATAAAGAGTGACATGGTGTTTTTTAACGTAGTTTTGTTGTTGTGAGGTTACGTGGACGGTTCGGTCTGAGTAGGAAGAGGCGGCGGGAGGGGCGGGTAATGATAAAGTGCGCCACTGGTGAATTAAGGATAACGAGAGATCCACGTGTCATGTTTCTTAGTGGTCTTGTCCCATAGAGAATTGGAGGAAGAAGATACCCGGTTTGTTACCAATTATTGGTGCAAAATAAAATCACTTTTAATCTTGTTAAGATACGTTTTAGGGTGGTTTTATTTTGTTTGAAAATTTCAGTGATTTAAGTTTGAGTTTAATAAATACAGTAATAAACTTCTATGTAACTCTCAAATCAGTACAAAACTGTTTTTAGTATTTAAATTAATTATTATCAACGATAACATGTTTATAACAAATTATAAATTAGATTTTAAATTAATATGATTTCTTATATTATTAAAAAAAATCGTTATTTGAACTATGATTTGTATTTGAGTAATAATATAAAATTTTCACAATATCATTTTTTTTAATTTTACTATTTTAATTACATAATAAAAAAGTAATTAAATCTCAATTTTAAATTGATGGTGTATCAGAAAATTACCTTTTTTTAAGTAATTACAAATGTGAAGAGTTACTAATTATTTTTCATTCTCCATGGTAATCATCGCCACTAAAATTATGGGCATTCTAAGTCTGATTTTATAAAAAATAAAATGTTTAAACCACTAAACAAAATAAAAGTTAAATTGTTTACTGATTTTAGTTGATGACTATTTTTGGTTAGATTATTATAATATGTATTTTTTATTTAAGAAAAATGCCATTTTAGAAAGAATAGAAAAATATCAGTAGTAAAACTTAATACGTTTTTTTTCCTAATTTGTGTGAGGTTAATTAATTGCTCTTATATATATAAGAAAGGAGGTAGTCATATTTTTTGTTTTACCACTAAGGTAATTTAGTAAGATTATTAAGAGATTAATAAAATTTAAGAACTTAACGTATATATATATATATAAAGGTTTTTAAAAACTAAAAAATAGAAACAGATTTTAAATTATGTTTTAATAAAACAGTTTTCAAAAGTTGTTTTAATAAAACAATTAATAATTAAGTCTTTTAATTAAAAACAATATTGTTAAAAATAGTAAAAATCATTATTTTTTTATAATTTTTTTAACAATCAACTCTCTTGGTTTCCTAAAATTTCAAGAAATGATTAATTTATTAGATGAAATTTGATATGCATCATCAAGAATAGTATGTATTACAAGGATTGAAGGGTTCAACTTGTTACTTTTTTGTATTTTATAAAAAAAATTGTGAAAAAGAATATAATACGAATTTGTGACCTACTTGAATAGCTTCCTAAGAACTATAATAGTTATCTGTGTCTGCTTTCTTGATTATCGTTGAACTGGTCAAACTGAGGTTGAATGAAGGGAAATAGTATCCATATATTTTTTATGTCCCTTTCCTCACTTTGTTAAGTTGAGATTAAGCGATGTTGTTGACAAATCTTCATATGTTGTGTGCCTTGCCTGCTGGAAATGACGATTAACTTTTAAATTAATTAAGCTTGAAAATTTTCTTATTTTATTTCCTTATTTTATAATAATTGACCCGGTAGTTTAAGTTCTCCCTCAGCATTGCCTGAAAAAACGATAATAAAAAACTAACGTAACTTGTTAAAATATATATATATATATATATATATATAGAGAGAGAGAGAGAGAGAGAGAGAGAGAGAGAGATTGAAGTGGATGAGAAACAAAACAATATTTAAGAGTTGTGGAACGTAGATATAAATAATTACATCGTCATTAGATAATAGTAAGAGAATTGACTTTTAAACGAGAAAAAAAAGAATACTCAGTTAAATCGTATATAATTTTGATCATTATCAGCACAAAGTGCAGCACCCTCTATAAAAGTTGACGAGGGAAACACGAAATATTCAAACATCTATCAGAGAAGACATTTGATGGTAGATATTTACTGCACAGGGCAGAGAAATGGAAAGAATGAAGCTGTTCTTGTTTGCAGCACGCTTTTTCTGTTTGGTTCTTCTGTTCCTCCAAATCACTCGAGTAAGGTACATGTATATAATTAGAGTGATTAACTAAGAAAGTGCGAGCATTTTATGTAAATACAAACTATAGAGTTGTATTGCATATATGATGTTAAATTCTCTTATGAAACTTGAGTGGTTAGTTCATAATTTATGTTTGATGTGGACAGTGCAGTCCCCAATGGACGTTCGGGTGACCAGCCCCAACCCAATCCCCAACCATCACCTCAAGGTGGTCCAATGGATCATCCATGAAAGGATCATGGAGCTTGAACAAGAAAATCTCAGCTTCTTTGATAATTTCATAGTCAATATATAGTTTTAGCAAAGTAAATTAGTTCCATAACAGGGTCTGTCTCTGATTTGTTTGACGCCATCTGAATAATCAAAGATGATAGATAACATGGATAACTTTTTATGTAACCATATTCCTCTAGATATTGGCAAGAGCCTTGTTCGTGGGGAAGGAGATCAATATGTTGGTTTGCCAATATTGTCTGCCATATCTTCAGGATGTATCTATATATGTACAATAGATATATAATTGTATGAAATTGTTGATTTTACTTTGGTAAATATTATATAGTTTTCTTGTGCTCAAACGAAATTAGCGATTGGTATTCTTGAATGTTTTTGCCATGCGATTACAGAGTGTTTTGATTTATCTATAGTTTATAAAGGATTTGTATCCTCTTATGACTTTTGTTTTGTTGTAGAGGGATCCACGTTGATAGATATTATATATATATATATATATATATATATATATATATATATATATATATATATATATATATATATATATATATATATATATATATATATATATATATATATATATGTCATAACTGTATAAAAATGTTAGCTTGTGTCTATCTAAATATGTGGTTCAACTTTCTCCCAATTAAGTTAATGTAAAAGAATTTAAAAGAGACTAAACTTGCAAATTAAAAATAGGAGAAAGGTTTTAATAGATAAAATGAAGAGAAGGAAGAATAAAGATGATGAGGAAAGAAGTCAGGAAATATGTATCGACATAGACTAAAAGCATAAAATAATAATACTAATGTGGTACAGGATTAAAACTATTTACAACATACATTATATTTATTGATAATACTAAAATATAAAAAATTTATTTGTATTAAAACTAAAATAATAGTTTTATGTAAAAACTGAAATACAAAAATGTGCTATGTATATAGATTAAATAAACAATTACATAATTTTAAAATAATTATTATAAAACTAATAATTTTGAATAATATGATATTTTATTATTAGATCACAGTATAAACTTTTTAATGTGAATGTAATATAAATAAAAATTTTAAGGATATATTTTAATGTAAATATTTAGAATATAGATTTTAATTTTCATGCCATAGGACCGAAAATTAAAACTATCATATACATGAAATATATGATTTTATTATATATATATATATATATATATATATATATATATATATATACTATAATTTAAAATTCTAAAATTATATCCGATTCAAACTTAGTGATCGTAGTTAGAATTAATTTTTCAAACAATAATAAATGTATATACAAAACTTACGAAGAAAATAATAAATGTATAAATATAAGAAACAATAATTAATAGCAGATTCCGTGAGAAAAAGAAAAAAATAAATATTAAAAGTTAGATTTAAATATCTCTATGTAATCAAAGTTACCACGATCAGATAGAAACTCTTCTGATCAGTAAAAATTACTAATTGAATTAAATATAACGATTTTAATGTTCTTAAGAAAAAATTAATCTGTTCAAGAGATTGAAGAACTAAAACAAAAGAGACATTTGAAAACCCAAAATTCACTGCTTGGAGTATTAGATGGAACAGTTGAAGAGTTTTTAACATTGATGCATCCAACGTTCTCAACAAGTAAAAATATACATCCTCTTGCCCTTTCCCCTTATTAAATAACACAACTTAAAAGAAGGGGGGCAGTTGGCCACAGACCTTGACCTTAGTTCATCTCACAGTGACACCATTAAAATAAAGGAAATAACTGACATTTTCATACCAAAAAATGGAAAATTTTGTCGTTTGGCATTGCCAAGAGTTCCTAAATTATTAAATTTAGCAATTACAAAATGATTAAAATGATAGCAAGGCTATGTGATTAAGAAGCTGCTGACTCCTTAGCAATTTTCTCGGCCTTAGCAATGACCTCTTCAATACCACCAACCATGTAAAACGATTGCTCTGGGAGGTCATCGTACTTGCCATCCAACACACCCTGTCAAGATACAGAATGAAAAAGAAACCATTAATCATGTATTATCCAACATAAACAAAAAAACAGGTTATGCGTTGCAGTACGACAAATGCAGCGTTAAAAAGGGCAACATCAACGGAAATAACTTAACCCATGGTACGGTAACCAACGATACTGTGCAAGCAAAACAGTAGAGTTACGCAACAAAGCCACAGCTATTGAAAACTGTGCTAACCAAAATAGGAGGAAAATGGAATATGGACAGTGATGTGCATGAACTTAACTACATTTTTTTAGTCGACAAATGCATTTTAAAATTCAGAAAAATAAAATCATAGAAATTAACTTTTCAGGCGTAGCATATCGATTTTCATGAAACAAACGAAAAGGGTGCTAATACGATTATATACAAGTAATATCAGAATGAAACTGTAACCAAAGCCTTTTGATCAGAGACATGGATTAAATCAGATTAAATTGACAAAAATAATACCTGGAAGCTGGTAATATTCTCCTTCAATTCAACGTATTTTCCCGGGGCACCCGTGAAGACTTCGGCAACATGGAAAGGCTGGCTTAAGAATCGCTGAATCTTGCGGGCACGGGCAACAGTCAATTTATCATCTTCACTGAGCTCATCCATTCCCAAAATAGCAATAATATCTTGAAGATTCTTGTAGTTCTGAAGAACCTTCTGTACACCAC